GGCATGTTAATGAGCAGCATTGGTCTCTGCTAATCTGGGTGATGCCTCTTAGGCCTCGTCTTCACCTGCTCCCCCTCAGTACACTGTCTCTCATGTCTCTCATCCCAGCACTGTGAATCTGGCCCCAAAATAGCTGTGCTTGTGGCGCCGGTGAACCAAAGAAAAGCCCAATTATGCGGTACATTCTCCCCCTACCTCGTTTCGTTCGGTCGGCCACTCAAGCTGACCACTGAGTGACCGTGCAGGCGCACTCTGCTGCCAGTAGAGGGCATCACACCAGGGACCCAGCGCATGTGGGTAATTAGCGATAATCAGCGCTGGGCTGAAATTAACCCCCCTGGCGCTGGGCTTAATGTTGCCGTTTATTCTTTGTACCTTAATACTTTCCTGGTTTGACTATGTGGACTTCAGTAATGAGTGCATTTTGTTGTGCTGGTGTTTATGGGGGGTGCATAGTGGCTGGAAGCTGATTGGCCAGCAAAGTATCCCCTCCCCGTCACTTTAAAGCATTGGTTAGCAATGAGGTTGGCCCTTCTGTAAGAATTATAGCTCATGGGAGCTTAACTTGCACAAAAATGAACTGGGGGCAGAACGAAAAATCATTGGTTCACAGAAAAAACCAATCAGTTTGTAGAGGAGGTGGATCCAAGCAATTGAAGACCAACCAATCAGATGACTTGGACCCACCTCCTCTACAACCTGTTTTCTTTAACTCTATGAACCAATAATTTTCCATTCTGCCATCAGAGCATTTTTAAACATCCCAGCAGTGAAATGTCTCCTCCTCACCTTTAAGAAGCTTGTCTCCTCCTCACCTTTAAGAAGCTTGTCTCCTCCTCACCTTTAAGAAGCTTCCAGAGCGGCAGTGGCTTTCGGGAACCTCCAGGGGCCGTGCGCAGGGGTCACAGCTGTGAGCTGTAAATGGACGCGCTTCCTGACGCTGTACCGCCGCGGTTAGAAGGGCTCGGCGCTGGCTGCTGTCGCCTCTTAGCGCGGAAGTCGTCACGGCCGCAGTCTGGTCGGCTTTTAAGAGCTGCCAGCAGAGGTGGTTAAGGCTAATGTCTCTGTGGGCCGCCGTTAACGGGCTGCTGGCTCACGCCCCCCCACTTTACGAAGCCACCCGCTGCACGCCGGCCCTTTAAAAGCCCTCTGCAGTCTGCCGGTGCTCCGCTCTCTGCCTCCTTCCCCTTTCTGCTTCCTGATCGCGCGGCGGTCAGGCCCGACCCAGTGTGCGTCTGGGGTGGGGGGGTGGTTGGATGTGACTGCGAGTCTTCTGTGTGTTTTTTCCCCCTAGGATTTATGACAGGAATTACATTTAAATGCCCTGGGTGGGGTGGGGGAGGGGCGGATTCGGGGGGGCATGGAGTGATCTCATCAGGAAATGGGTTTGTCAGTTTTATGTGGATCCTGATGGCTGTAAATAATCACACTGTGGTGTCAGGGCAGGGCCGCTGGGGAGCTTTCCTTTAACGATCATCGTTCTCTCTCTCACTTACTCACTTATGTCTGTGCACATGCCTTTTGGACCCTCTCCCCAGGCCAGTGTGACCCTACCAGTTACCTAATGCCGAACGTCTATTTCCACCTTTCTTTGTGCACATTCGAATAGCTCTACGCTCTGCTGCAGGTTCACTAATGAGCAGCATGTGTGAGATTGTCACTCTCCTCCTCGTCTATGCGTCTGCATGCCTGCATGTGTGTGGCTTTGTATTTACCACATTATGGGGACTAAACTTTCTCACAATGTGGCAAAATCTGTTACTTTTTAGTTTGTGGGGACATTTTTCGGGCCCTCACAATGAAAACCTCTATTTTAGAAATCTGTGAATGCAATCAAAAAGCTACGTAAAAATGCCTAAAGTCTTGTATTCTGTTTGGTTACTCAGGGTTAAGGTTAGAGCTGGGTAGGGGTTATGGTTGTCATTGTTGGGATTCGGATTTTGTCTTGAATGGATGATCCCCTCAAAGATAGGAATATATGAACTCTGCGTGCTTGTGTGTGTGTGTGTGTGTGTGTGTGTTCTCTCGTTGTCTTACATCCTCTTTGTCGAGCAATTTGCTTTTCGTTCAAGGAACCAAAATGGTGCTGGCCGACCCGTTGTCTTTATAGCCTGCCACACTATTAGCTTAAGTTATCTCTTAATATCCATTTTCCCTCTGACAACTCCTCCACCATGGTGAACACACAGACACACACACATACGCACACACACACAGAAAGACAGATCTGTACTCCTCTTTGTGGGGACCATCCTTTCATTTCTATATTTCTATGGGCATAACCCTAATCCCAACATGACGACCTTAACCCCTTCCCAGCCCTAACCTTAACCATAAGTAACCAAACAAAATTCAAGACTTTTGGCATTTAAATTTTTTGATTGCAGATTTTTATAAAATTGAGATTAATATTGTTGGGACTGAAGAAATGTCCGCACAAGGTGAAACATTACGAAACATTAGATTGTCAAACATTACAGAAATCTGGTCCCCACAATGTAATAATTACAAAAACACCCATACTCACAGTGTCCTTCACTCTCTGCAACAAAGGGAAGTATGATGAGAGCCCCGAAAGCAGCTGGAATCAGCCGTAACCATAATGTGAGGTCAGAACATCTCATCTGTCTCCACTCTAATGATATAAAGCTGTATAGAGTCTCTCTTGGGGGGTGTGGCCAGCGCGCCCTTACATGGAGTGTAAGGTGTGGCCATGCCGACTCCCTGTAATGGCCTGGCATAAGGTCATGGCCTGGCATAAGGTCATGGTCTGCCAGCTTTTTGGGGGCATACGTACGGATTAGGCCAGTGGACTGAACTCTGGACAGATATAACTGGTGAAAAAGTAGCACATTTTTCTGTTTATCTCCATCACAACAAAATGACAAGTGATTTCTGCGGACCGCTGTGAGTAATCAGCAGGAGGTTTGCCCGCTGGAGTGATGAGATGCAGGCGTCGAGATGCCCCCCCAGCTGGCGGCCGGGGGGGAGGCTTAGTGCTGGTTACTGAGTATTGCTTAACTAGGTGAAGAGTGAGCAGGGTTGTAAGTGCTGAGGAGTAGAGGAGTTTGGCTCTGGGATCTGCAGAGCTTTGGGTTTATTTTTTTTCATGTAAGGGTGTTTTCACACCCTGTCAACACTGTTATTTGGAGAGTTTCGATTTATGTGTCATTTTCCTGTTATTTACTGGTGTTTTACTGGGGAATTGAACTGGGACGTGTCCGTCGAGTTTGTTTTCAGTCTTTTGGTCATTAAAAAACAAATGAAAAACAACCAGGCAATTTCTTCCAGAAAACACCCCCCCCCCACAATCCTCATGGCGCATAAACATCTTGGAGCTTGTTTTCCCCTCCGCGGCTGTTTCCCTTCCTAGAGACTTTGCCTCACGCTGAGATTCACGCCTCCGCGTCTGTGCCATCCACACCATTCCTGTGGCGTTGCCCTCGCTCCGGGTCACACCGTGGTCACCCCCTGCCCTTTTCGGGGTTTGGGGGGTTTCTGAGCGCTGCCGGAGCACGCCGGCCTCAGCTGTGTCGGACGAGGAGCCAGTTCCGCGTCCCTGGTTAATGTGGACGGCTCCCTTGGAGCGTCTTATGTGCAGCTGAATCCTGAGGGTTCATCGCACGCTGGCTGGTGCCATTCACCGTGGCCAGGGCTGCTCACAGATCTGTATTTAAAGCGAGGTCTCTGGCGCGAACGGCCTGTCAATCTCGTCGTTGGTTTCCTATTCCTCGGTTGGCATGCAGCTTCCTGTAACCTTGGCGGTGGGCGGTTCTGCTCCTGAGGATCTCCCTGATGTCATCTTACATCGCTGCTTAACCCCTGACCCCAGGGTGACCGCTGTGTAAGTGTGGGGCAGTGGCTTGCAGCTTCGACCTTGCTGGCCTTTGTTTTTTGAGGGAGGGGGAGCAGGTTCTCTTCTGTCTTGTTTCTTCCTTTCCCTGAACGACTTTGAATCACATCCAGGGTCGCGGTTGGTATTTCTGTGTCTGCTGTGATGCTATTTTCACGTGTGTAAATACTTCGTGTGTGTGGGTCATGTTTGTATTACATTGTGGGCACCAAGTGTGATTCGCTAAACGTCAGCCTCACACCTCCCGAAACCTCACACTGGGGTGCAGAACGAGAGGCTCTCAGCCCCCCCACCCCCCCATGGTGGAGAGAGTCAATCATAGCGTAGATGAGAGGACTGGGGGGGGGGGGCGGGGAGGGATGTCTAAATTGCTTCTCCACAGAGACGTGGATGTTTCCTGGCTCTGCCCTGGCTTTGGGGGGCCCGCCTCGCTCAAGCGGGGGGGTAAGCATGTCTAACGGGGCACTGGGGGCGTGACATCGAGCTGTGTGCTGCTCTGCATGGGGCAGCACTGCAGGCTCACACAGCCCTCTCACTGTGGACAGGCCCCGAAACACGACATGACGTCATCACTGCAGCGGGCGTCTTCCATGCTGCCCGCTTGCGTTCGGTTCTGCTTTCCTCGCAGATCAGTGAGAGTCTTTCAGGTTCTGAAATGCTAACAGTCCCCGTTCTGAGTGCAGGCCACGCCCCTGCTCTCTCCAGCGTGGTCTGCCATATCGGGAGGCCTAATGTATCGCCCTAACACACATGATGCCCAATCGGCTAACAGAGTCCCGGCCTGGCCCGGCCCGGCTGGCCTAAGTAGCAATTCTCATCCTACAGGTTCCGACCAGAACCTCCAGCTTAGCTAATTGGATTTGGAACACCCAGAAAATGAGTGGGTGATTGGCGCATTCCGGAAAGTTCCGACAGATGTATTGGCAAAGCCGGCATGAGCTTGGGCTGAGATTAATCTCCCCCTTTTTTTTTTATCCTGTGGGCTCTGATGCTGTTTCTCTGGGTTCAGTGAATTGTAGGGGAAAAATGGCAGTGATATAAATGAAGTTGTATGTTGGAACATCTCTCCGAGGCCACAAGGGAGTCGGGCTGTTTTATTTCTTGCCATCTTGCTGCTGAAGAATCATATATCTTTGTTTTTCCCCAGTGAGAATGCATTCGTGAGTGGTGGATACGGTCACCCCCTCGGAGCCCCTGCAGACGCGGATTGGAGACCCTGTTGTTCAGCCCCTGTGGCTTCTCTATAGGTATGGCCTCCTGCTTTCTCCTGTGCAATCGCGTTCTGTGCTCAGTTTGTGAAATTCCTGAAGGGTCTGGACCTCGCTGCAGTTGCACGGGGGCAGTCTGGGCTATTCGTTAGCCTGTCGGATTTCTGTGCTTGTCAGGCTGAATTACGCGGCTCTCAAAACCTGACGATCCTCTCCTGTCATCTGCTGGGATAAAATCGGATAAAATCTGGCCTTAGGGAAGGTTTTTTTTTCTGGGTTGCGGGTTTGAAGATGCTTTGGTGTCCAGCTTTGGATCGGATCCTGACCCAGGTGTTTGTGAGCTCAGGCCCTTTACGTTTTGCCGTCTCTTGTTATCCATGCTGTAAATGCACCAAAGACAAGCAGCGTATCCCGGCTTCAAAAGAGCCGCTGGGCAGCATCTGCGGCTCCAAACATAGCTGGCGACACGTCCCGCCATGAAAGTGCTCGTCCTCCCTGTCGTTCATCTCAGTCGGCCTGCCGTCTGTGGCCAGGTCTGTGTCCTCTGCAGACACCCTGACTGGTGCTCAGCCAGCAGAATCGCTTTGGATTCGCTAAAAACCCCTCTAGGTGTCATCTGCTGCTTTTAACTGTCAGTAAAACTGCCTTGTGTTAAGTACATTTCTCATGGGCATGTCGGTGTCGTTCGCGAAAGCTGGTTGGTCGGCAGAGCTCCAGTCCGGCTCTCATTGGCTTATTAAAGTCTGACATGCTCCGGATGTGAGATAAGGGTGGGGCGGGCCTTCACTCTGCAAAGCCTGTGTTCTGTCCAACCCTGTCGTTTGCTCAGAATGGAACATTCCTGAAAGTGAAAAGGAGGGGAGACTATTTGTATTTAATGGACTAATCTAATTAAGATTTTTCCTATTTTGATGAGAAATAGCAAATTTCAGTAATGGTACTTGGAACTTGAAGTTTCACCTCAAGGGCGCCTCCTACCTGCCCCATCGTTGTACTGCTGTGATGCTGCAATCTGCACCTGTGTTAATTTTTCGAGTGGAAACCACCCCCCACGCTTTGGGTCTTGCCATCATTTTTTTGGAAAATCAGTTTGTGATGGAGGGTGTGACTCAGCTGGTTAGGACACTGTGCCTGTGATCAGATGGTTGCTGGTTTAATTCCGCTGGTCGGTAGAGTGATCTCAGCTTGGGCCCTTGAGTGGGGCCCTTGAGCCCCGATTGCTCCCGGGACTGACTGACCCTCCTGTCTCTCGCTTGTGCTGGAAGGGCCTGCTGGATAAATCCGTAAATATGATCAGTATAGAGCTGCTTTCTGCTGCTGCGCTGACAGTTTAAAGCAGCACTGATGGTTTTTTCGTAATTGATGTGTTCGGCTTGTCGCCTGGGCAGTTTAATTAGACCCCTCGGAGTGTCTCTCGTTTACGGCGAGTTCCTTCGCCCGCCCAGCCTGCCCGCCCTTCACAGGAGCACCTCACTGCCACCTGGTTATTGTTGTCCTGTTGCAGGCCCCGGATTCATTTACCAAGGCCTGTGTCGATCTGTCTGCTATGCTGCCTTCTGTTGTTAGAGCTGACAGTAATTCATATTGATTGGACTTAGTCTGTAAAATGCTTGGGCGGTTGTAAATTGAAAGTTTTTAATTTCACTTCACATCACTGCTATGTTCTGCAAGAGTAATCTGGTTGGTGTCTTCCTTA